GAAACCAGAGGGCTTTTAAATAACAAGATCAGCTTGGGGGAGGACTGATTTATCTAATCCTTGCCTTCTGTATCTGGGTCACTTTAAATAATCTGATGATTAAAAGGTAGGCTCCTCCTTTTGCCAGGGCCCCTAAATGAAGCAGTGGTCAAAGCACACCCTTAGCAGCTAATAGGGAACACACTTTCTTCTAAGGTCAAGTGCAGAAGTTTTAAAATCGATGGGAAGTGTTTCTTAGATGACTACAGGATATGATAGCTCCCTTACAGTTACTGAACAGGAGTGAATCCTATTTCCTTTTGTTGCCTTTTACTTTTCAGCTCTTTATACCTCAATCACTTGACATTTGTTCAATCACTCCATATTATGAGGTGCGACTCTTCTATTAGACTAACCTTTTTGACCTTGCCTGGAACAGAGAAGGTTGGGATAGATCCATTCCACACGTTGTTGTAATGTTGTTGTTACACGCTGTTGTAATGCACAGGCAGAACTGCTAACAGGTTGTTTGGGGTAAAGAAATTATCTGGCTGTGAAAGGAGGAGACCACTGGGCTGGACAACAGAGAATGTGTGTGGTCAGATCTCTACACGGCCAAAACTCATGGTCAAATCACAAAGAGAAATTGCAGAGACTGATTTCTGACTTGATGAAGCATATCTAGATCTGCTCACTGAACCATGAGCAGAGTCAACCAAGTGGATGTCTTACAGATATTCATTAAAGATATTTTTTCAAGAAATATTTGTAGCAAAAGGCAACTAACTGAGCCAAACAATCGTGCACTGGTCAAGTTCTATGTAGAGGTCTGCTGAAAAGGACCAGTAACTTCTACACTTCTTCAGCCATTTCTGGGTTTGCCCTCGTTTCAGCATTTGTCTGAAACATACTCAGGGAAGATGTCAGCTCTCAAATGATATGCACACAGGTGAAAGTGGAGTCATTCAATTAGTAATCACTGTGCAATTAGGCTTTGTATCAAAATAGAAATTACTTTTCTAAAAATAGGTGGTGATGACGTATTAGCTCAAAAGGAACAGATTTCTAAAAAGATAGGAAGAGGAACAAAAAACAGCTCTGAAGGCCAACAGAAAACTGAAGGGCAAAGCAAAGTAATATAACAAAAAACAAAATCCATAAAATCGAAGTCCTGAATGTTTAACAGCCTCAAATAGCACAGATGGGGTTTGTAATCTCAGTGGTTGCAATGTTTTTAATAGCCTTTTCTGAGATAATTCTGTTATTTCTTTGTTGCAAGGAACAGGGAAATCAGTGTGGCGTTTCAGATGTCACTTGCGGTAAGTTTTGATAAAGGCCAGTGTTTTTATGTAATTTAACTGCAAAAAGAAAAAGAAAACGGCAAGCTAAAGAAACTAGTGTTAAGAATGCTCACTTATCCATCAGTTTATAATCAGAGAATAAATTTTGTCACTATGGCAAATTCTCATCACTGGAAATGGGAATGACCTTGACAGATACCAAGTTCCTTAAAGAGGAAGTTATGAAGCAATCTGAGTATCTTCACCTGGCATTAAATCACTTCTACCAAATGGCATTTAGCAGGGGCCTAAAAAAAATAAAGTGTGAAATAACAGAGATACTAAGGAGAGGATGTAATACACCCTCAATACCAACAACTGTTCCTAAAAGATTTGAGAGTGACAATATAGCATCTATTTTTAAAAATGGAATTGAGATAAAATCTAGGAAAGAGAAACTGAGCATTTCAGTCATAATTTCTCTCTTTTTTTTTTTAATTAATTTTTGCCTTTCACTTGTATTTTTGCTCATTTCAGAATTTCTGTATTAAGCCTGGTAAGATTAATTTTTTCTCTTATTCTTTTTATCAATGCCATATTGCTTGACAAAAAATAAAAACGGTATTTGAGTATTCACATTCTCTTCAGGCATTCTCTTCTCCTTTTTCTGTATAACTGCATGTTTATCTTTTTCAACCAGCTGTAGTTACATACTCTTGACTCTCATCATAAATCAAACATCCATTCTTCATTAACACTGAAGTCTGTTTTTCTTTTTTTTTTTTTTTAAACTTATTTATTGCCTATGATGAATGTGATTCTTGAGCATGTAAATCCAATCTTGAGTAGAAAGGCAGCATTCATTATCCTCATAGAGCATAAAGACAGAGAAATAACTTTTAAATCTAATCTTCCACAGGAAGTCTCTGGCAAATCAGTATCAGAACCAAATTCTTAAAAGTCTCCTCAGAGCCCCGAATAAAAACAGGCATCCTTTCCACCCATCCTATAGGCAACATCTATTCATTCGTATTGCAGTTTTTAGCTACCTGGGAACACACGTGTGAAAGGACAGACACACAAATACTACTCAAAACGCTGAATACTATCAAGAGATATTACCCAAGTGCATCCATTCAACATTTACCAAGAAGACAGATCTAGGTAGGTCATTCACCTCTTTCTCTGTGTGCAACTACCAGAGATGGTAAAGCTCTACCAGGACTCAAATTTACTGTGGTGGGCAAAAAAAACATGTTACGTAAAGCTGAATGACTCGCTTTAAATGCTATGACTCTTTATTTGCAAATTATAATCATTTTATAAACACTAATCAAAGTCCTTCACTTCATCTTTGTTCATTAATGCCAAGTCTACATTTGCCTTTTGGGGTTTTCCTTAGGAGTGCATTCTTTTACATCTAAAAATGTCTCCACTTGCAAACGCTTTGTGGAGTATCTTCCTAACATTGCATCCCTCCCCCATTATTCTGAAAACTAACTCCTGACAGATAGATACAGATTTCAGTAGGCAGGAAACAAGTGTTTATGCCAGGTTGCCGACTGCCATCTTCTAAATGTCTGTTGTTATTTGTTGAATCGATCCCACTTGGATGGTAACTGAAGTAGCAAATGCCTGTTAACAGGTCTGCACACATTACACAGAGCATTCACTGCTAACAATAAATGTGTTTAAAAACTAGAATAGCACATAGAATAATATCTGTGAAATTAATTTCCAATTCTGTCAGAATGTGTTTTTCACATCTAGGAAATTTTATTTCTTTTTCAAGCATAAAGAAAAGTGTTTATGAGGGGTGATGCTTCATGAAAGTATCATTTTTACCATTACTTCTCTTACTATGCTCAAAATCCTAATATTAAATATATCAGTTAATCTTCTTATACAATGAGAAGGATGGAAAATTAATGCAGAAATCATTCAATAAATTCATTAAGAAAGTAGATTCCTAATTTTTTTAGCAATGGAATTACAGCATTCCTTATCTTTAATGTAAGTAGAGGATGGAGCGTAATTGACCAACAGTTGTCCCGAGAGAGCTCTTTAACAGCAGTTTTGGGGCAAAAAGCAAAATTAAGAATAAGAAGTCAAAGAATCTTGGACTGGAGGCATCTTTTCAATTTCTTTCTATCGTTATAAAGAAAGCACAGACAGACCTGTTTGTTTTATAGTGCTATTGGATCATGTCTTGGCCTCCATTTACTTTATAACATCCATCTTATGATGACATCAAACAGAAAACAGAAAAAAGAAAAAAGCAGGTTCGCAGGTCTGGGCCAGCAAGACTGTGAAGGTGGTCAGACTTAGGATGGACTCTGACAAATCAAATCCTTTCACAAACCTGGCTGTGTTCCTATCGATAAGAGAATGCTCTACAGAACAGGACTGAGAAAAGCATCTCACACAGGCCCAGCTATGTTTCCTCAATTTCTTTTCAACCAAGGTAGTTTCAAGCTACAGCATTTAATCACATCGCTCTCCTGTTCTGCTCATGTATCTCAGAAAGATTAAGCTAAGGGTCATTATTTTGCCTATAGACAGTAAGTGCTAGGAAAATTCAATTTGAAATTAATCTACCCCTGAAGCGTGACTTGTTTTCCTCCTTGTCATGGCTTACACCATTACTGCAAAAATGGTATTTGCAATCATTGAATGACGCACTTGAACTCAACTGGAACACTGTTAGCTCAATGATTTATTTCTGTGAATGTCACAAGCAGACAAGATGAATTAGAAAGATGTTGCTGGGATAAAGATGGCAGTTTCTATATCATATATGGTCCTCATCTGTACCATACGTCCTGTTCTCTACAGCTACAGACAGTTGCCATAATTAAGAAGGAAGAATTTACAAACATTAACCAAATAATTTATTGATAAATTGTTCCTAATCCTCAACAGAGGAAACAGCGTGCATCTTAAATATGCATAAGGATAACTTGGCCAACTACTCCGTAGTGATAATAGTGTGTCTGTCTGAGGGCTGAGGATACGGGAACAGTCAGCTCAGAAAACAAACCATCATCTAGCTACTCTGCAGTGTGCTGTTCACCGCAAATCGAGCACATGTTGTTTACAGCTCTGAAATCACAGCAGGGAGGCAGCTGCCGCTACAGCCTTGCCCAAACTGGAGAGAGAACTGGCCATCAGTCAGTCTCGGCAACATCACCACCTTCTCTGGTATGTTTTGGAAGAATAGACAAGCTTCATGTCAGTGGAAATAACAGGGATCTTTTGGTTGGTTTGCCCACCAGGACAAGGTGGATTTCCCAAATTCAAATGTACATTTCAAACTTTTGAAATAGATTCTATCTGATCACAGAAAGAATGAGTTCAGAAGCCTGAGTAAGTTATCTGCGAATGTCTAGCCCACAAATAACCATGTAAAACAATTTTATAAATCAAGTCTGAGAATTTATGTTCCTCACTATGGCACACCAAATATAAGGAAAACATATGTAATATGTCTACACTTTGCAGGATTTCTGAAACAAACAATGTATTGTTAAGAGATTTCAATCAACAAAAATATGAGTTTATATATCACACAGTCAGCACATACCTTCATTTTGTTATTTACTTTTATTTTACTTACTGAGCAGTGAACACCAGGTCAGGTGTGGCATCAAAAGAGTTTGGAATCACCGCCTAGCACCTCAGATCTACTTCATTACATTTCACCAAATAACTTTTAGAAGAAAAAGGAAAACAGCATCATACCTGAGACTGTGCATTAATATTGGCTCCTTCCTTAACCAGAACTTTGACAACTTCAGCTTGTCCTGCTAAGGATGCAATATGTAGGGCTGTATTCCCTTTCTGTTATAAAGAGGGAAAAAGCAAAAGACATTACCTTCTTTAGGAATCATTTTAACCAGTGGTTCTTTCATAATATCCAGCATGCAGGCCTTAAATTTTTAAGTACAGTTTTACCTTACATTTTCATGATGTTCCATAACCATCAAAGGGATAGAACTGGTAGCAGCAACCATGAAGATTTCTTTGGTGGTTGTTCAACACTTACATCCCAACATAACTTTTGAGTGAAATTACAGAATTTGATTTTGGTTTGGAACAAACTTCTAGATAAGGTATAATACGGGCTAACAGTTTATTTAATTCAGCTCTAGAGATCATGCCCTGTAGAATGCAGCTGAAAGGAGTCTAGGAATCCTAAAGTTCAAGCAGTGAATCACATGTAAAATGAGATTTCCTGGTACAAGGCCCAAAAGGAGGATCTAACTTAAGTGACAGAAACCAATCTTTTAGAAGTGGAAGATAACCCTTTTGTTTTTCCCTGTTCTCTAATCTGCATACAATTAAAATGCGTATTCTTGAAAGTTGTTCACTTCAAGTTGAGACGCAGTGCATAATAAAAAAACATCTCTCGAAAACAGCAGCAGCGTGGTAGACAGCTGCTTTTGTACGAGTCTTGTATTTTTTCCAGGCCAATCTTCCATCCCCAGCTTTTTAAATTACTTTATTAAACAATCAAGACCAGGTGCCTAAGGCTCATAAAAGAAAAGCAAAACCCCAAAGTCCCATCTGGAAGCTGGCAGTTCTATCAGCAGCTTCACTGAGGGGTGACTTAAAGATGTTTTTGAAGGAAGGAGGGAACTTCTGTTTTTCTATCAGTGACAGAAATGAGAAGTTCAGCAAGAAGCACTTTGAGCTGATGACCAAGTGCCAACCTTGATGGAGATCCTGTACATCAGCAATCATGAAAAAAGAATCCCACAGGGACACAGTGGCAGTAACTTAATGCAAAGACCAGGCATATATCTCTGGATACGATATATTCATTTATCAGTTTTCACAGATTTGAAAAAATCTGCTGTTTTAAGCTATATTCACTCAATTGTCATTGGAAATAATAAATTTGGCATCACTTTTTAAAAAAAAAAAAATTCTTCCCCTGCAAACAGATTGTATAAGTAATCTTCCCCTTTTCAATTAGAACTGACGAGCATCAGCCAATAACATTGCCATAGACCATAATGGAAACAGCACTGTAAATATCAATGAAGTATTTATACCATCATCTTATTTTGTACTTTTATAACTTTTTCTAAATTTCTCCCTTGTATTTGAGTTACTCATTTTGTGAATAAACTTACAGACGTGTGTCAATTACCTTAGTGGCAGAATCCACAGCCGACCCTCTTTCCAATAATTCTTGTACCAGTCCCACATGGCCTTCTTTAGCTGCCAGGTGCAGAGCATTGAGTCCATTCTGTAAGCACAAGGGCCATATCAGTTACAAATATCAGTTCTGAAGATACACGTTCCTACCTTACCCTGGTATAAGAAGAAGATTAGTAGCTGGAATACTGTTACATCTGCTAGCTGACTGTCTACATAAGTCAGATATTTTGGACTTGCCTAGTTAAGCCAAGGCGCTGTGTGACAAAGCTCCTCATAGCAACAGACATCAAAACAAACCCTGTTTTCAGCCAGCAAATTCTCCTAAGAGATTCCTTCCTCCCTTATAGTTCCACATTTCCCTGGACCACTACACCTTGGGAGCCCATTATTTCCAAATTTGAGTGCATATCTAGCTTATACTTACTGTAATTTGATCTGTCCCTACTGAGGTATTACCATCAGTGAGAAATCACTAGACTTAGACAAATTTACACAGGATGTGTCTATTGAATTATGATACTTCCAGGCTGAGGTAGCTGTCCTGAACCCTGGGATCTCCCCCATTTTCTCTGGAATAACTGGTATCAGACAGAAGACCAAGTAGATCAAGTAGATCAAAACAGGATTATATGTGACTTGCAAGGTGTACTGGTCTTGGCTTGGTACATCTGCTGGTTTCTGATGAGCAGGTCTTCACTACACTTGGTGGATTTGTAACCTCATTCAAAAAGAACAAGAAAATGATTGAAAGGAGCACTAGGATTTTCAGGGGGAAAAAAAATCTAATAAAATTAACACTTAAATCCCTCTCATATTAAATAGGATACTTTATCTCCTATAAATTCCAGCTACGGAAACTGTATCTTCCTCTTCCTATTATCCCTATTCCACCCCCGGGAAATATAAAATGGCAGTCTATTGTAACAGAACAGCCAACCTATTTTTCACAATCCTGTGTTATTTCTCATAGTACATCAGGCAGGTGACAGCACCAGATACTGCCGTTGCCCTCAAGCCTTCTGCTGTTTTCCACATTGCATCACAAGCGGCACTCAGGTATCTGCGTAACTCGCAGCACGTTGAGCGCTCTGCAGCTTTTATCACTTGTCTCGCAGTAGTTGGTAGTCACTTAAATTATGAAACCAACAAGCAGCTTTCTAGTCTTTTATTTGCCCATCCTCAGAGGCAGCTTGAGCTCGTAATTCCTGGTGGGATTTTAAAGCACTTAGCACTTCACAGGAGGCATTTAATGGGAGTGGGTCCAATGGCTGCGGACACTCCAGTCCAGATGCGTTTCTGAAGTAAATCCATTTAATTCTACATTCATGCAACACCAACAGATTTTGTGGTCAAATTCAGAAGTGCAGCTGTGAGGAAAGCCAAGGAACTGAAGGAAGGCTACATTCACAAGCTGCCAAAAGGCAAAGAATACCCTCATGCAGCCTGGTAGCTCGGAAATGTTACTGGGAAATGTGGTTTCAAATCCCATTATGCGGGTGAAGCAGCAGTAACCAGATCCTTCTTACTCCACAGGAACAACCCTGCCACAGCACTGCAGAGTCCAAGGCTGGCAGCAGGGCCATGTCTAGGATCAGGAATATAATTTAAGTCAGAATTTATGCGGTGAGGTTGACCATAACCATCAGGATGACTAGGACTGTACATGGCAGCGATTTTTTTTTTGCAAGCTGCAAACGTTTCAGGCAGCTCTGGTCTTCCTTGTTTTTAATCTCAGCTGAGTATAAAATAACCACAACTACTACCTACAGCAGTTGTAAGTTTTGAAGTAGTATTTGGTGAGGAAACACACAGTGTCCTTCTCATTGCTTGAAAACAAAGACCTGTTTTCATATTGAATCTAGTAAATTAGTCCTCAACACTTTCTAAGTGAGTATGAACAGCAACTTTGACTCCATCCATTTAGACACAGCTGATGTATTTCTGAGGTCTTTTTTCACTCTGTGCAGGCAGACTGAACTCCACAAATGACCGCACAGAAACCGAAACACTGCATGGCCTACACAAGCTGTGTGCACTCACACGCCTCTGGCTGCAGGAGGTTCAGCACGAGCTGCTGCCTTGCACTCACACCAACAGACTGCGGAGAAAGGAAAGCTCGTCCTGGTGCTAAATTAGAAGCAAACCCTTAAAATATTGTTATTTGTACCTGAGAGAGAGAGCTAATGCCACCACGTTAAGTAACCGAAAGCTAATGCTGCTGAACAGATTAAGTTTCTTTGCAATATTACTTATTTATCATATTTATTAAAATATAAGCAACATGAATACAGTGAGGTCTAGTAAAAAGGCTACAGAAACAAACTACAGCACAAACAGTTCCTACGGTACGCATTCAGATTCTGTAATTACTTAAACCAAGTAGCAGCAGAAGCAAGCATTGCACTTTGAATGTTAAGGGCCTGCACGACTGAAGCCTTAAAGCAAGCTTTGTTCCTCCGTAATCAGCACCAATGCTGTAATTATGCCCCGGCCCACAAGGCTGATCCCTGCTACTTATGATGATGGAAGCTCAGATTTAATCAATGCAACTCCTCCGTTCCTGTCAGCCGCATTCTTGTACTGCAGAAAAACAAAGGTTTCTGACACTTCCCTTTTCTCTCCTGTGCCTACCAAAACGTTGTGGGTGGGGGAGAGATGAAGTTAGTCGTCTGCTAAGCACAACCATACCGCATTTGGGCTGCTCCTCCCAGCGAAGCAGACATATACCATAACTACCTTTTCTTTCCAGAGGCTCATTTGTAATTCTGACTCTCATAAAAGAACATAATACTCAACCTCACCAGCTGGGCTGTTCAAGTGCTTCCCTGCAGAGCCTGATTCCCTCAGTGCTTTTTGTTCTCTGCCACCGAGCTAGAGGTTTTGGCATTCTGCATCCCACGGAGTGCTACGAGCATGCACGCGTTCCGCTACTGCTCACAGCACTTCTAGTGTTACCCTACACATTTTCACCAGAAAAACCTCCAAATGTCTTGTGAAGTCCAGGGAAAATCGCCAAACTTTTCTAATCCATATGAATTTCACTTGCTTTCTTTTCTGGAAGACTGGCACCAGGTATCACTGCTGTCATCTGAAGATCACCTGAGGAAGTCCATGGTACTTTTGCCTTTGAAATGAGCTGCAGCAGGACCAGCCCCTCACTGAATGGATGCTCTTCAGGCCACTGCCTGGTGCAATTACTGCTCCTGGCACAGCGCTCAGATTGCTGTTGCATCCAGCAGCACTAATAGCTTGTACTATTCCTGTCTAACCCACCGCAAACTGACCCTGCAGAAAGGTGACTTCTTGGCAGAGCACCACAGCAATCTACTGTTGAAGGAACATTTAAAATCAGCACTGGTACCAGAAGAATTGCTTCTGCTTCTCCTGTATCTTGCTGTTACATGCTTCAGAACAGCAGGAAGCAAAAATGTGTATTAACAAACGTAACCCTCTACTTTACAAGTCTGACCCCGTGTAATTCTCAGTGACGTTGAAGGAAGTTGGGATGTGACACTATTCAGAAGGTGCTGCAGGGGTCAGAGTTTCTAATCACGCCTGCCTTTGCAACACAAAGTCAGAACGACATTTATGAAACTTACAGAAAAAGCATCATGAAAGTCAATAAAATTGAAAAATTTAAATCTGACTTTTGAATATTTTGACATTCTCTTGAAGCATGAAATACAATGCACTTCCACCAAGTTGCTGCCACTGATGTTGCATTCACTGGCTTACACATCTGCTAACAGGCCAATAGCAAACCATAATTTACAAACACAATGGAAGTTAAAAAGTATTTTTTAAATTATTTTTTTTAATAAAAAGCTCTGCATGGTTGTGCTAACTTCTGCACATGTTTCAACAACTTCTTACAGAGTTAAGAGGGCATCTGAGCTCACCAGTAGAGCCTTAGACTAAAAGACAGCATCACAATCTTTGTTAAAGTCAAACATTTTTCTCCATCTCTTTAAGATACTGGCCTAAGGTTGCTGCAAATAGTCTCCTTTGAATAACTCTCTCAGGCAACTCGAAATGGGATGTGGTCAGGCTCTTTTCTAGAAGGGTTTTGGAGAGGGCACATTGGAGAACTGCACATGGATTTCTCCACTCAAAAAGTCTTTTGAACTTTTTTCCCAAAATATCATAAAGAAATAAAACAGAGGGTGGCAAAAGAAAAAAAAATAATTTCAGATTATGAAAATTCTCCCTTTATGTTGCTTTGTAGCCTATGAATTAATGAAAATGAATTAACCTACTGAGTTATCAACAAGTGATAGTGTCGACCTCATTATGACTGGAGTGCTCCTTCAGTCTATAGTTAGCACTACTAGGAGTGTTAGCTGCTAAATGAGGGAGTAATTAATAGCTGGTGCTGTCTTCCTGAGACTCAAGCAATAAAGACACCAACCAAACTATGAAGAAACCACCAAAATGAGAGCAAAAGCCAAACAGATCTAAGTTTTTAAAGCCTTGGAGCTGGAGACCCCTCCAGAATACCTAACGTTTGAGCCCTCTTCTCTTCTGGGTATCAGACTTGGCATTCACTCCTTGTCAGTACAGAAGACCTAATCGAAACAAATGTCAAAAGTCCATCACACATTTTTCCTTTCACAAAACTGATTTTTAATACTGTGAAAACTGACTAACCTCAACGACAAGGCAGGGAAACATTACTGTAAGTTGCATTTTGGACTACTAATTCTCTTTCAAAACACAGCAGACTGATGATGAACCCTTAGACTTGTGGGTCTAATTTCTGCTGGAGCCTGGAGCTGCCAAAGTAAAAGGGCTTTATAAATGCATACTGTAAAAGTATAGTTCATTTTCCTAGCCAACATTATGAGTGTTGATTCATACACTTCAGAAGCAAGTTGGTTCTTCTTGCTATATTAACGAGAAATAACAGCCATGTATTAAAATACCTAGGTTCATAAAATATAGAAAATAGCCTTAAAGGAATCATATTTCTAATGCTTATCAGTTTTTCAACCTATAAAATACTAATTATTAGATTTTTTTTAAAGGCACTATTTAAAGGCAGGTAATTTTGCCCACGGACATTTCTAAATCTCTCCAGAAATAAAGAAA